TTGTGGTGGTGTATAGAGCCAAAGATGTTAGAATTGTGTCGATGTCCCAATATTTCTGGACATGACTGTATGTGAACACTAAGACTTGTTCCAGAGATGATTATTAAAACAAACAGTTCTTTAGTTTGATATGCAATACTAGCCAGACTCTCTTCCTCTGAAGATACTAATCAGCATTCTGTTTTAATAATTTCAATGAAAGGTGAACAAAATTCCTTCCACGTGAAGTATCAAATATTCACAAGATAGAAAGAATCCACCTCATTCTTCTGCTCTTCAAATGAAACATTTATGATTCTGCATTTAAATCCTTATCTAAGGCCCAAGGGCCACATGTGGCTTCAAAAATGCCTTCAGAAGTTGTTGACAATTGTAATTTTAATGTGGCTGAGTGGAAAAAAAATTAAATTCATGGGGGGCGATCACATTAACTGTATATTAGTTATTTTACTGTTATTTAATTAAATCAGATACATTTTTGTTTAACTCCACCCACTTTTTAGAGCACAGGCCAAAGCATACAATTCAAAGGCCAACTGCAGTCCTCAGAAAAAAGGCTGCACACCCCTGTTCTAGATGAAGCAATTCTGTCTCACAATATAGATGATCTCTACTACCATCCCTCTACAAATAGCACCTAAAGCATTTCACAAAATATAATGAAGTACAGATAAGAGTGGTAAAATTTAAAAGATTACCATAAAAAAATTAAAAATCAAAATACGAGATCTGTAAATTTAAGTTTAGTTTTAAACACACTTCAAATGCTTCTCAAATCTCAAGTCTTCCAATACTTCGGGGGCTGTCACAGGGAAGAGAATGCACATTTATTCTCTTGGCTCCGAAGGGTAGGTGAAAACCAATGGGTTGAAGTTTTACAGAGATACAAACTCAAAATAAGGAAGAATTTCCTGACTCTCTGAGTTATTAAGCAGTGCCTCCTGGAGTTTTTAGGCACAATCACTGGAGGTTTTCAAGCAAAGGTTGGACAGCCTGGGATGGTATGTAGATTCTTGCCCTGCCCAGAGCATTGGGCTAGAAAACCTCCCAGATGCCTTCCAATTCTATAAGTCTATGAGTTAGTCATTTAAGCTGCTAAGAATTCTACTGAAAAGGCTCTAAATAGCAGCTAAAGCAAGAAAACTTCATGAAAATGCTAAGATACATTGAGATTACATAGGAAAATGCATTCCTCTAATTATAATAGATTCAATCTATTGGTCAAAATAGTAATGTAAAAGCATGCTGAATCAGTCCCCCAAAAACATTTGATAGTTAATCCAATCCTGCGATAGTAGATGTTGAAATATAAAGTGAATTTCTTAAACTATTCCAGAGAGCCTGTTTAGTGTAGTGGTTAAGGCATCAGGCTAGAAACTGGGAGTCTGTGAGTTCTAGTCCCGCTTTAGGCACAAAGCCAGCTGGGTGACCTTAGCCCAGTCATGCTCTCTTATCCTAGGAAGAAGGTAACAGCAAACCACTTCCAAAAATCTTGCCAAGAAAACTGCAGGGATTGTCCAGGCAGTCCCTAGGAGTCAACACTAAAACAAAAAACAACCCTATTCCAAGTCCAGAATATTAAGGAATAAAGGAAAAGAGCTATTTTAAGTTATATATATATATATTAATGCCATATTATGTTATAAAATATCTAGTGAGGTATATAGGATTATCATGAAGTTATTTAGTTTTTGGGTTTTTTTTGTTCTATCCTTTTCTCACCTGGCCTTCCGCACAAACATCATCCAGTTACATTCATTTTCATCTGTTGTGATGATGTAGAATTCCAGGACATTATTGTGATACATCTGAAAGAAGATAATTAGAGCCATCTCAGATGGTTAAAAATCTCCCTACAAAATGAAGAAAGCACCTTAGCAGCTGCATGAAGTTTTTTGATTACAGTCATCACTTCCTTTAGGCAAGTCAGATAAGCACAGAACATATAGCAACAGTCTCCAATCACTATGGCTTAAAGAATCAGAGCAATGCATGTAGGCATTTGGATGACCTTCTGTGGGAAGGGAATTACTTCTTTTGTAACAAGGTACATTCTCCTCTGCCCCCAATTTCCAAAATCCATCATCTGAACCCCGGTGCTTGGTAATGAGCCAGTAGGAGGAGGGCACCAACAGCAAAGAGCACAGTGGTAAATCTGATTTTGGTCTGCAATGCTTAAAATAACATTCCTAAGCACTATATACTGGGAAAAAAAGAGGTAGGTCTCTTTGGAAAACATTTTTCTATATAAGAATAGGACAGTAAATCAATATACGGCAACCAATCATTTTATCCATTACCAAGATACTTTTTTCACTGTAATAAATGCAGTGTCCCCATTCTGCATGCGCAAAAGAGCCTACTCCAAACAATTATTTTGCTTGAGAATGCTCTAAAGAGAGCATTATGCAAACTGACCTTCCAAATGTGATTGGCCGCTTTGTCTGTCCAGTCAGCTACTTCCACTGAGTGACTCTGTTGACCAATGAGTGGTCCAAAGCAAGTACGGACAGGAATGGTTTCTCGAGCCCACACACCTATGAACAGTTGGGAAAATAAATTGTAATCCACTGATTACACCAAATGAAAGCCAGTACCAACAAGCAATATAGTGCTTTGAGTTTCACTGCTAAGCAAAAATCTATGAAAGCTTCTACAAAATGGAAAATCACAGAAACAATCATATTTTTGTGAGTAAACTCATGTATAATATTACATTAGTCCACTTTATTCTAATATCAATTCATCTGAGGTGACTGGTGAAACTTTCAAATGACTTGTGAAACTGAGGTCCAGATCTTTTGTGCTCATTAAAGATTTCATGTTACTTCTGGCAAAAATAGAAAATTCTTATTTCAGAAACTGCAGAAGTAGCCAGGAATACAGCAAGAGTGTGCGTGGAATGGGGTGTGTGTGTAATTCTCCTAGTTACTTTAAATAAGAACTCCATAAAATTATGTTAGTAACATTCCCATCTTCAGAAAGTGGTGCTCCAAGAAACCCAGGGTCTCCTAGTGATAACAAACATCTTTCCCCCAAAGAATAGTTTCTACATCCTCACTAATCCTTCTCTCCAATGTATATCTATAGACAGCATAAGTCACAGTTCAGTCAAGCTATCTATGAAGTCCATAGCCACACACAAACTGTAGGCTCTTCTCTTAAAAGATGATTCAGAATAATCTTCAATGTCTTAGTGTTCCATGATATATATAAAAAGATGATCCAGTGAGTTACTGCAGAAAGTATTCTGCCAAGATGTTTTTAAAAATGGAAAACGAACAAGGGTTTCAAGCCTCTTGTGAACATTGCCTCAACAAAGTTTGATTAAGCATGAGTGAATTCATATGTTATACTTAAGTTTCATCTCAAAACAGAGGTAAAGCCAAACAATAATTAAATAAGAACAGTTAAAAGGAAAAAGCATTTCTGAAAACCGTATTAGCAAAATACAATGTCATAGAATATAAATAATTAAACACATACAAAACCCAAGTATAACTATATTTTTTCTATGAATAACTAGGCCTACTTCCATTCACTGCTAAACTTGAGATTCAATGCCAAAGTGTAGGTAGTGGTCATACCTAAGGAAGGAGATCCAAGACAGGTTGATAATTGACAATACTGCCCACCTAAAAGAAAGCAATAATTCTCCATTACCATAAACTTGCACATATGGAACTTTGCTATTAGACTGGGAGATAAAATAAAATGCTGTTAGATTTTCAACTTTCTTCTTCAAAGTATAAATTATCTTTCTTAGAAAATGTTAGGCTCTTTAATTTTATGAGGATATTTAATATAATTGCTATACCTCCAAGAATATACAGTTACCTGCAAATTTAGATATCCCTATTCAAAGTTTATGTTTCAATGAATTCCCAAGTGAACAAAAGCCAACGCAATTTGTACATGGTAGAGTTAAACACAACATACTTCTGCAAATCTGAACGCATACTTACAATTTATGTGCAGTTGTTTACAGTTTCAAATAAGAAAACAGTGGCTATGGCAGGTGCAAAAGTTTAGACTCCCTATCATTTGATTCAGTGCAGCTATATTTTTTATTGTAAAGTCATTTGTAAGGCCCCCAAAGGTCTATAATTAATCAGAATAAGACAATTCCACATATGAACAAAAACTCTGCTAACCTCTCAAGTTCCAATTGTCTATTTTCAACAAACATGAGATTTTCTGAACAGCTGTCTGAGCATCTGAACTGTTCAAGGCAAAACAAGATCTGGAAGACCAAGATAAATCTTAGCTAGAACTGCCTAAAAACTGTTCAGATCTGCAAAACAGAATTTGCTGCAAACAATCTGCTCAAAAGGTTAGCTGAGTGTGGAGTAGTTATCTGCCAGTTCACAGTACAGCATCGCTTATACAACAATCATCTGCGTGGGAGAATTGTCTGAAAATCCCCTTTATTCCAAACTCATCTCCAGAGTCATTGTTTAAAGTATGAAAAAGGAAACCTTGATAAGCCTGAAATGTGTTGGAATGCAGTCCTTTGGACTGATGAAGCAAAAATTGTGTTGTCTGGCCACAGCCATTCAAGATGCATTTGAAGGGTGCAGCTTTTGAAGAAAAGAACACCTGCCAACTGTTAAGCAGGAGGTGGCTCTATTATGCTTTGGTGTTGTGTGGCAGTAAGTAGCACAGGAAATATTGTGTGGGTGGAAGGAAGAATGCATTCAACTAAATATCAACACATTTTAGAAACTAAATAAGGTTACTGAAGAAGTTAGAAATGAAAAGAGGTTGGATATTTCAGCAACACAATGATTCAAAATGTATCTCCAAACTGATCATGAAGTACTTAACAGAAAAGATGCCAGTTCTGGGATGGCCACAATCCTCAAGCTTGAATATTACTGAAAATCTGTGTGGATACCTGAAGTATGAAACGCATGCAAGAAGACCTAAGAGTATTTCTGAGCTAGGAAACTTCTACTAAGAAGAGTATGGAAAAATTCCAAAAGCAAGAATAGAAGGACAACCAGTTGGCTACAGAAAATGTTTAGAAGCAATTATTTCTACCTAAGGAGGTATTACAAATTACTGATTCAGAAAGATGTCCAAACATCTGCATCTGCCACATTCACTGTTTTATTTTGGATGTGTAAGCTATTGCACAAAAATAGTAACTGCATTCAAATTTGCAAAAATATGTGTTAACTTTTACCACATAGAGGATGCACTGTAAAGCTCTACCCAGATTCATATTCCTCCCCAAGTAGTAGCTTTTATTTTCCACTACTGTGTCAAATTGTGTTTCAAGATGAGAATGTGCAATAAACAAAATCCTTACCAACTTCGGGTCCCATGACAGCATGTCGGATATTAAGCTGCTTTGGGACAGAAAGTCTGGCCCTGCTCTCTATTGGAGTGTCAGAAACAAAAGTCACTGGCCCATGATCTGGGCAGTCTGATGGGTAAGCTTTGTCGCAGAGTGTGCACCCTGTGGATAAGAAAAAAGGACACAGCATGGGAGAATTGTTCCTGTCAGATCCTATAACAGGACAGGCAAGATGAGGGTACAAAACCCTCAAAGTAATAGTTATTACACTTATGCCTATACAATGTTTCTTTCCTTGAGGCCTGCGGCAAATAAAAATGGCCTTGAAGTGATAGGTAAAGAAACTTTACAAAAGTTAGCTTTTGATGGGGGGTAGGGTTGGAGACATAATATGGGTATGAGTGGGCAAATAAACCTGGTTAAATATTTTATGGACTATATTGGGGAGGGGAAACAAATCTATTTGCAAAATTGAGATATGGATGATAAGAAAACAGGTCATATAAATGCAGGCGATTTTTTTTTATGAACATATTCTTCTGCCCACACAACTTAGATACAAATAAATATGCAATAGCTTTACCGGAAAATCTGCTATGACAACCTAGCTATTACAACCATAGAACATAGGAAACTGAGTTTTCCCTCATTTACTTGCAGTGCTGACTAATGTGAAGATGTGGATAACTGAAGAGAAAGTCATATTTCTTCCTCCTGTGGAAGATGTTCAAGTAAATAAATGAAAATTGGTGTATGTATTTTGAATGATAATAATTAAAACACTGAATGCAAAAACATTTAAGACATATGAAAAACAGATGCTTATACAGTGGGGCAAAAAAGTATTTAGTCAGCCACCAATTGTGCAAGTTCTCCCACTTAAAAAGATGAGAGAGGCCTGTAATTTTCATCATAGGTATACCTCAACTATGAGAGACAAAATGGGGGAAAAAATCCAGAAAATCACATTGTCTGATTTTTAAAGAATTTATTTGCAAATCATGGTGGAAAATAAGTATTTGGATTGTGCAAGTTCTCCCACTTAAAAAGATGAGAGAGGCCTGTAATTTTCATCATAGGTATACCTCAACTATGAGAGACAAAATGGGGGAAAAAATCCAGAAAATCACATTGTCTGATTTTTAAAGAATTTATTTGCAAATCATGGTGGAAAATAAGTATTTGGATTGTGCAAGTTCTCCCACTTAAAAAGATGAGAGAGGCCTGTAATTTTCATCATAGGTATACCTCAACTATGAGAGACAAAATGGGGGAAAAAATCCAGAAAATCACATTGTCTGATTTTTAAAGAATTTATTTGCAAATCATGGTGGAAAATAAGTATTTGGATTGTGCAAGTTCTCCCACTTAAAAAGATGAGAGAGGCCTGTAATTTTCATCATAGGTATACCTCAACTATGAGAGACAAAATGGGGGAAAAAATCCAGAAAATCACATTGTCTGATTTTTAAAGAATTTATTTGCAAATCATGGTGGAAAATAAGTATTTGGATTGTGCAAGTTCTCCCACTTAAAAAGATGAGAGAGGCCTGTAATTTTCATCATAGGTATACCTCAACTATGAGAGACAAAATGGGGGAAAAAATCCAGAAAATCACATTGTCTGATTTTTAAAGAATTTATTTGCAAATCATGGTGGAAAATAAGTATTTGGATTGTGCAAGTTCTCCCACTTAAAAAGATGAGAGAGGCCTGTAATTTTCATCATAGGTATACCTCAACTATGAGAGACAAAATGGGGGAAAAAATCCAGAAAATCACATTGTCTGATTTTTAAAGAATTTATTTGCAAATCATGGTGGAAAATAAGTATTTGATGAAAATTACAGGCCTCTCTCATCTTTTTAAGTGGGAGAACTTGCACAATTGGTGGCTGACTAAATACTTTTTTGCCCCACTGTATGCATGCCAATTTCTCTGAATTGAGGGGACAGCAAGAAGGAAGAGTTGATCTGTTCAGCGAGTGAAACCCAGCAAAACAGTCCATACCCATTTTAGTTTTTAGATATATCTGTATTTATCCTAAACTGAAAAGAAAACCCTTAGGAGAAAATCTAACCGGAGACAAACTGCAAACCAAATATATAGTTGTATTAGATAAGCATATATAGAATTGTAACTGTTTATTGTTATATTGATATATTAACACTTTTTTTCTCTTTGTATTTTTTTTCTTTTTATGTTAAAGCACTTTTATGTATTTTTTTCTTCTTTTTGTAATCAAAAAATTTAAAAAATAAACAAAAAAAGACAAACTGCAAACCAAATATACTAACATATTTATTATATAGCGCAGGAACAGACAATTGGTGCATTTCAGATGTTTTGAACTTTAACTGTTTACCATCTCTGGCCATTCCCTATACTGACTGATGTTTATGTCAAAAACATACACAATAAACAAAGTTGCCTTCCTCTCACATCCAGAGTAGGTTTGCATTTTGTGCTAAGCCAAATTGTGATTCGTTTGTTTTTGGCTTAATGGGCCAAATGGGGTGTATTAACCATGGTTAAATAAATAATGGCTTATAGTTCTGTGTAAATTCAACTACTGGTTAAAAGTTTAGTTCCAGTTTTCTTCAACTTCTGTAAGCTTTTTCTATAGGCCCACTGGACTTTGTCATAAGTACATACATTTAAAAGCAGGGTAAGTTGAACTTTTTGAAGTAGTTGGAAAATAACTACTATTCAATCACATATTGACACATACTTACATATTGTAAACAATGTAGCCATATTCTCCTTATTGGAATTGGAATCTTCCATCTGCAATGATGATGGCACAAAAGCAAGATTGTCTGAGGAGACATCCACATGATTTTGTCCCATGGCTACTTCCTGGTTTATGGAGGATACTGTCACTGGCTCCAAGCTGAGACCCACTTCATGTAATGAGACAGATTCCAGGGAAGTGAGATTATGTGAGGTAGAAAGTGCAACACTCACAGAATTGCTGCTCATGGCCACTGTATGAATAGAGTCCCCAAGTGTTCGGTCAGGCATCCCATTGACACGGCCTGCAATGTGGTCAGTCTCCATAACAACAGGAAGTTCCAAACTGCTACCATGGATAGGGATTACACCATTATGCCCTACAGTTTCTGTGGCTAAACTGCTATCCACTGCTAGAGGCTCATGATTACGACTGCCATTTGCAATCTGTGAATGATCCCCACCTACATCACTCATCCTAAGTTCTTCGGCCATTCTGTCACTAGAGATTGGACTGGTAACCCTTGAAACACTTTCTATGGTAATTGTTGTATCCAGAGCGACATCATGGCCATCGCTGGGATGCAAACTTTGAGTGTTGTGTGCATTCACTGAACGGGAATCCATGGAGACAATGCCTGCTTCAAGACCCACGGTTCCATTGGGCTGATAGGGATCTAAGTCTGAAGGATTATTGGAGACAGATAAAGCTGAGTTACTATCAACATTGATATTGTTGGGGTGAATACACTGAGGTGGAGGTCTGTCAGCTAAGTAAGATATTAGACCTGAGGAAGGGGAGAAACGAAAGAAAGATAAAAGTAAGCACATTGTTTTGCACTAACAAGTCAAGTTTTAAATTGCTGAACACAAGGACAATCAATTTGCACTAGTGCATGCAATGAACTTAAGACTTTGTATTTGCACCTCTTATGATTTGCAAATAAAGAGTCCATGTGATTTAAAAAATTATTAAGCCACAAGAAAAAAAATGTACAAGTTCACTTCCACAATTCCAGATGTCTATTCTTGTAATGATTAATTTTCAAATAAATAAAACAGAATTATAAAACTGGAAGAGAATATTCGACACATCCCTATTTACCTGTAAAATGTATATTCTGTTGCCTATTCAGTTGAGCCTTTCTTTGCAACTTACAATAAAGTGGTAACATTTGTCCCCTATTAAATGTGATCCTTTCTGAACATATTACTGAACTTAAGATTTTATACAAAGTCTATTGTGTCACACTACGTACCAGGTAGAATGTGTCTAAAGTAGCTGCTTTCTAGATGAGGGTAAGGTGGTGGAGGTAGGGTATAATTTCTCTCTGGTATACCGCACATCACTCCTCGATCTCCAATGCCCATTGGAAGCATCAGAGACAAAGCAGAAGGTAATGAGGGCCCCAAATTTGGAATTGCAACTGGTAATCCTAATACAAACAAAATAATTAGTCTACAACCGATATAAGATAAAGACATTTGGGGAGAGTGGATGCACAGAGACAAAGAGTAAAAATTGGAAAGGTCAATAGAGGTTTTGATTTCCACACAAATGGGGGAAACTCTACTTAAAATATGCATTCACTGCTGTTCACAATATTTTTAATGTGTGTTACATTTCTATTGACTTTTTTGTAATAATGGAAAGATGCTCAATTCTTGAAAATTACACCTAGGAGCCAAGGTTTGGGCATTAGCAAAACACTGAGGAAAAAGGGCCAAAGCAAAATTGAGTTACCTAAAGCTGGGCTTAGACATGTCACATCATCTCCCAATTTGAAAAGAACAGAAATAAAGACATCAAGAAAATGTGTCTTCATCCTGACTTGATACATTACCTGGTGCTGGTATGGCATTATGGGTGGGTGAGGAGGCCAAAGCTATGTGATTTCCTGCAACAGCCAGGGCATTGCTCACAGAAGAAGCTGTCAACTGTTCCATCCCCACAGGGCTCAGGCTCATTTCATTCATCCTAGAAAAAAGAGGAACATTTAAAATGTAAATAATAGTTCAGGCAAGCATGAGTTTGGCATTTAACAAACATACAGAACTTGGTATAAAACAGGGTTCTACAATTAGTTTTTGGCTGAGAGTTAAAATTAACTTTTAAGCGGTGTGACAAGGGGCTGTACTCTAACATGGAGGGTCAAGGCAAACACTAAATTTCATTTTATTTAAATGAGTCATATAAATTCTATTAATGTAATCAATTGCCATGATTTTAATAATTTCCTTTCTATCATGTTAAAAATTAAAATTTGGTCTAAATTTCTGGAGAAGTTTTAGGGAATGCACTACTGGTATAGAAAAATAGTACATGCTTTTTTGCTTTTCTCCCCCCACTCCTTTTATTTTTTCTATTCCTCCAGCATATTTAATAAAAGACTCCAAAGAAGCTGAGGTGAAACTGGGACAGAGTCAAAGAACTGAGAAGCAGGGTGTTTCAAGATTGTTTGCCAATGGGAAAGCAGACTGCCCACAAACACTGTAGCATTACAACATTGCAAAGGAAAGATAGCTTTATTCCAATGTCAGATAAAGTGCAATGGAGCAAGATTTTAAAATGTTCTGATACTGTACAAAAGCAGGTCTGGAATTGGTTCCAAATCAGGCTAAGTGTGGAAGTGCCCATAGGTTAAAATCTTTAAGAGTATGCTAACATTTTAATTTCTCATGCTTTTGTAACCACTGTCTGTACTTCCTTAAAGCTTACCAAAATCAAACTGTGTACCAGTAATAAATTCAGTATTAAATATTAAACCTCGATTTAAAGGAAACCCATTTCATGGGCACTGGATGCAATGGACAACATTTCTATCTCGACATTCCCCGAAATAACAGACAAGTCCATTAATCCAAGTAGTCTAGATCAGATACTGAAATCTACATTATTATGTACATTATAACACAGTTTGCATCATTTGTGTCATATTATCATACAAATACTGAACATCACTGTGAATGACATCATTCAAGCTTAACGGACATTTGGGAATTAACACCCCCCCCCGAATGATCTGTTAAATCTTATGATTTTTCAAATACTGCAGGCATATATTGAGCAAAACACAGCAGTTCTATGCTTATAATTCATACATGTAGCTGCCATCTTTAAAATGTTACTTGATTATTAAAAAGCTACTAAGCGCAAATGAAAAGCACAATCTTTTTAGATTGATTGGAACTATTGGAATATAATTATTTTAGTAGGAAAAGACATTCATGCATTTTATCCATCTTATTACTGCCACACATTAGAACCCACTGCAAATTAGTTGTGAATCTGCAAAAACTTTAAAATTTGTAGCCCTAATAATGATCTAACCAGAGTTATACATACAGAATATGTTTCTTCTGCCTCTCTCTTTGCTCATTTAATGAATGTTTAACTCATTTAGGCTTTGTAATTGACACTTATTCTTATCAACATTGGCAGGATTCACACAACAGAAACACAAGAACTAGGCTCTGTATCAGTCCCTTTTCTGAGCATACCTCCTAACTGAAAGAAAGCAAATTAACAGCAGTGACTCCCAGAGGCAAAATGGACAATGTTGTCCAAAGGCAGATAATTCTGCTGCAACAAGTGTGAATCAATATTATAATTACACCTAAATCAAAGATGAAATAGATTCATCCAGCCAAAGCTCACAAACAGTAAACGAGTTAGAGATGTATCAGAAAACTCTCAGAGGCAGGATCCCACTCCCAATGTCCCGTCCCTCCTAAGGGATTAACCACATCTCTCAGAGACAGACTATTCTGTGCTTCTCTGTTTACAGAAAAAGGGCCTGTCCTTTCACTGAATACAGAGAAGCACAGAGTGATCTGGCCCCAAGAGGTACGGTTTAGAGAAAGGGCCTCTGTCCAGGCTTCTGTCTGCGCAATGGACATATGTTGCCATCATTCATGCACTGGATATGAATAAGAGCCCCTTGTTGTGCAGCATAATGATAGGGAACCCCAACTGTCCCAGGCTCTTTCCTACCAGGGAGGAACTTGATGGGCGTACATCATGTCAAAATGCAGTCATCTGGAGGATGTGGCAACTATATATCAGTCACAGAGAGACATGACAACTAGGCACTATCCTGCTCCACCCACACACATGAAGGATGTTCTTCTTTGCTGTAAGAAATGTAATTGAGGAAAAGTTGCCAATTTATAAACTCACTGCCTTAGACCTGAGCTTGTGACTAAACCTTCTTTCAACTATAATTTTAAGTGCAAATTTGCAAAAGGAATAGTGCTTGCAGATAGAATATGAAGATTTTATACCTCCCAATCTCAACAATTCCTTCTCACAGCATCTTCAGCATTGCTAGTATAGAGAATAAGCTAGAGAGATCACTTCACTTGCAGTGAAGTGAAGTGGGCTGAATAGGATCACTGTTCTGCCAACATTTCATCAAAATACAAATAAATGTCTTTATCAGTATCCTCATGAGATATATTTACATACCAATATCAACAATAGAAAAGGATTGGCAGATCACATTTTGTATAACATTTCAATAAAGCCTGAACACATTTCTACTTGCTTCAGATCTATGCAATTTACATATATCTTGGCTTATATATGCTTTGATATGTAATTAAATACAACATGCTAATTAACTAATAGTGTTATACTCCACAGCTTGAAATAACATGCTCTTTGGAAATCTTTCACTTTACTAAAACTTAGCAGAGATGTCTCTCATTTACTCATAAAATAATAGCAGCTGCTTAATCTTTGAAGAAAACTGTGGCCCATCAAAGCTTATGCCACAATGACATGAATCTTTATTACCCAATATTGTCTTTAAAGACTTTCACCGTTTAGATATAGAACAGTTTTGGTGATCTCCATACATTCCTTTTCCCCCTCAGACTGTAGTAATTCATGATGACACTCTAGACATGCTCAGACACACTCACCAAAACTCACGCATCAGAAACAGATTCCTGGGCTAAGCCCCAGAATAAATACACGCATGCAATGCTCCCACCTGGGATGCATCTGCCGGCGAGGCCGGGCCTATGAGGGGCCCAGCGGCGGCAGCCTTTTTCTCCTCCACATCTGGTCCCCCTTTCCAGCTTTTGTCCTCCAGCACCTTCGTCCTCCTCCGCCGCCGCTCTCCAGGCAAGCCAGCATCGACCTAAGGCGGACCCAGGCACCTCCCGCAGCACCTGAGCCCAGATGCCCGCCGCCGCAACCAGAACCGCCTCATGAGCCAACCGATGGATCGCGGAAATAGGAGAGGGGGCAGAAAGAATTGGCGCACCAATTACGCAGAGCGCCCCCCTCCGGAAAGAGCGGTGGTGCAGCTGTGGAAGAGCGCCTCCCCCGAGAGAGGAAGGGGGCGTGGTCAAAAGCAGGACGGAGAATACTTCCGGTTTGTTCCTCATCCAGGAAACGCCCCCCTCCCGCTCTTCTCGCCACTATTCCATCCTCCCTTTGCTGTAAAAGCCGGTCTGACTTCCCGGCCGCCGCGCGCGTAAACTCTTTGTTTAAACGTCTGACGCGCTGCTTTCCGGCTGGGTTTTCTCCTCCGGTCGTAGCTCCTGACGTAATCGGTGCTAGAATCAGTCTAGAATACCGAATACGTTTTCTGACGCAATTTGCGCAAAGTACTACGGTTTAGGTTTTGTTGAAGTTACTGGGATTTAAGTTGGTAGTCCCGTGCACGTTTTAGAGTAAAAACCGAACTTATATGCTGTTTTAAAAACTTGAAAGGCTTATCTATTTGATAGATGTATAGGCTGGTTTTCTATCACGTAAGAGCCCAAGGCACCTTAGCTACATTTCGTTTAGTTTATTTGTATACCATTTTTAATTATAATAACAAAGGATGGCTGCAATTTAAAAAATTAATTTTTTAAATTATGCTATTTTATTTTTCTACCATTTTTTAATTATAATAACAGGATGGCTGCAATTAAAAAGAACTTTTTAAAAAAATAGGTTGTTTTCACATTTTACAAGATATTTAGAGAGACAAGTACATTCCTACACGTTTCAGGAAAAGTATTTCGGTTGGATAGCATAGTGCTGACATAGAATTGGGAAAATTGGGTGCTGAATGTGCTCTTTAGATCCAGAATGCAGCCAAACTAAAACATCAGATCAGAAAGCCATGACCAAATGGTTTCTCACAGAAATATTTTCCAATATTACAATCTTATAACTAGCTACCTTAACCACTAGGTGTAGCTGAAATCACCACACAGGATAGTAAAAATGGAGAATCCCCTCTCTCTTCCAAGAGGGGTGTGTGGAAGTCAGGGAAAACCCCCTACATGGAGGTATGACATCATACAACATCTGTATCTCTGCTCTGGCAGCTTAAGGGAAGGTGGGCTTCTGATAGCAATATATAACTAAGCAATCAGCCTTCCTGAGCTGAATATGTATGTGTATTACAATCATTTATCTCGCATACAAATTGCATGCTCTGTTTAAAATAATCTGCACATTTCATTCAGAGTTGAACAGCAATTTCCCCCCAAATGTGGTTCTGTCCTGTTGTAATCTGGTCCTGCTTGTCCTTCAAGTTTCAAAGGCAAGTGCCAGAGAAGAATGTGTTTGCAGGAAGAGACTAGCAAGCATTGACTCCTGGTACCTATCCCTTCAAAGAGATTAATCTTCAAAATTCAAAGTTATTCATTCCTAAACAACCAGCTTCTTTTGAAGTATCAGTTTCTTTTACTGTAGTCCTGAGCAGCCGGTGATTCAGGAAATCAACACTTTTGTTCACAAGTTCCAAACATGGTCAGCTCTGCTGCTTCCTTCTTCATATAAAGGACAATGTTTAAACCCTATCAAAAATGGGTAAAATAATATAAAGATATCCATGTGGATACAATGGAGAAACATAATAATGCTATTGTAAAGAACCTTTTAAATAAATGTTTTCTTGGGGCCAATAAGGCTGTACCCCAAACATTCCAAGGGACAAATCATAGTCTTCTACATGGAAAAGAAGAAGGCTCAAGGTGCATTAAATATACTTAGTAATATTAACTTTGTGGTCAGCAGCATCTGCAGAAAATGATGAGGACATCAAAATGATGGCATACACAGTGATGGTTCATGCAAATCCTGTTTTCATGATAATTTTGCCATCCCCCTCCCCTGCCCTTTTTGTGGACACCATGCCTCTTCTGTAGATCCAGGTAGCAGAAATTTCAGTTCCATTCATAAAAAGCCACTCTTTTTTTGTTAAACACAACAAGGGTTTCATCAAAAAGGAAGAAAATAGAGTGATCCATTAGAAAAATTGTGAATGAAAAGCCAAGGGATGATTCAATGCTGGCAGTGCACCAAAAACAAAATAAGGAAACCACCAGGGAAAATGTTCTTCTTGCAGTTCCATACTCATTTCCATGTGGAGGATGAGAAAAGGAAGATGAGAATGGCTTGAGGGAAGCCTAAGGAGCTAAGGATATCTTTTTAAAAAAGAAAAAATATCTAGCTAGAAACTGAGTCAACTTGCTTAGATTAGTATCTGACACAATTACATTTATTATATTTTCTTATATTACAGCTTGAGGAACAATTCCTGTCCTTTTTTCATAAGCAAGATAGGGCATGCCCAATAGGATATTTTATTCTGTGAAATATATTTATTTTGAAGTAAAAAATTTTTTGCATTTTCCTTTGTTTTATGAACAGTGCCATTTTACCTTTTTTAAAGTCTCCCAAGTTAACAGCATTCCAAATAGAATTCATTTCTTTTCCTGAAAAGTTTGAAATCACTTTTTTAAAAACTAGGAAAAGTGTGCTTTTAAATGTGGGCCAGAACTCCCCCACAAGTGATGCAGGCAAACTAGGAATAATTATAATGGAACTAAAATGATCAATTTATATGGTACAATTCAAAGTACAGATCATTGCTCCAAGGGTAACTGCATCTAAAATTCACCAAAGAGAAACAAGAGAAAAAGGATTTGGAAATGGTGAAACGGAAGGAGAATAAAATACCCTTATTGCAGTTGCATATATTACATTTAGGAAATATCTTCTTTCGCTGCTGCATGCATCTAAAAAAAATGCTAGATAATTCCTATCAACTATGTTTGCAAACATGCCTTATCTGTCACACTCTCATCCACAAGGGAGCACTCTTTCCCTTATGAGTCTGTATCTCACATTTCTGCACACACATGCACACACACATCACATCACAACTTGTCAGATGCAGTTTAAGTCTGCAAACCTCTATGAACTGACTGATGCAATTACTTTAGAACAGCGGAAGCCGCAAAGTCTGCCTTTGCCTTTTGGATTTCAATAAAGAAAGCCCTTGGCTAATTTTTTCAGCTGACAGGAGATCCTCGATTCTTGAGGAGAAAGAGGTGGAGCTTTGGCAACTCTTGGCAAATGCCTGCAAACTTTTCAAGTTACCCATCCTTTTGGAGGCAGGTAATATCAAAGGGCACTATGGATTACAATATGTGAGGAGTGTTTACAGCCTAGAAGATTATTTATGTTTGGTTTAGTCACACATCCAAGCTCGGAGAAAAGAAACACAGGAACCCTCTCATTATCTTTTGAAATATGAAGATCAGAGGAAAACCTGGGTTTAAAGTGTGGAGTGATGGACCTAGAAGTCTGCTTATAAATTAGAAGGCATCCTGCTTCAATAATAACAGATTGAGGAACAGAACTGATACTCGGATAGAAGAATGGAATTTCAGGGTCATTGTTACTGCCACGGACCTTAAGCTAATGCCTACTGCTCTGATCACTACAAAGTCAAACTATATTGTGGAGCAGAACATCTGGCCCATTTGATCTCTCCCTCAATGGATAAATTCCAAAAAGCTTATTCTGGAATTTGACACTGAACTGCTTCAAGATGGGAAGCAAGAAAGATGATGGGCTCTTGAATAGGATCTCATGTTCAGGACCAGCATCCCTTGGAAGCAGTCATGTTACCGGTTCTCATGGCTTACCACTCCAGGAGCCATTTGGCATCTCTTTTCCTTTTGGACAAACATACTGGGACCACCAACCTTACAATGGATATTCAGGAAGATTCTCTTATCTACCCTTTTCTGGGTATGTAGGAGTCTATGACTACTCATTTGAGCCTGCCTTCATTCGGAAGAGGAATGAGAGGGAAAGGCAGAGGGTTCGTTGTGTAAATGAGGGCTATGCACGCCTCCGAGACCATCTTCCCAAAGAGCTTGCTGAGAAGCGTCTCAGCAAAGTGGAGACTTTGAGAGCTGCCATAACTTACATTAAACACCTTCAGAATTTGCTGGAATATCATCCTTTAGGAACAAATTCTAAGACAGCCATTCCAGCTGCAGAGACACCAGCAGTTTCTGGTCCTAGTTTAAGAAGGGAATGCAACAGTGATGGAGAATCTAAAACCTCATTAGCTTCATCTCCTTATAGTGAGTTTGAAGAAGTTTGTAGTTAGGAAAACATAATCTTTGGAAACAGACAACCTTAAGACCATCTCTCCCCTTTTTCTTTAAAAGAAGCCAACAGTTTCTAAATTTGTGTGGATCACCTGGAGGACAAAATTTCATCTCTAGCAAAATGGTGAAAAAAAGATATCAGAGAAGACTGTTTCCAGTATAATTCATTCTTGGCAATCTTCAGGTGTTTATGTAAGAAAAATATAACATTGTTCCTAACATTTCCTTATTTATGTTATTGAGCATGTTATGACTGAAATAGCTTTTCTAAAAATGGAAACATGATTGACTGGTGATCTTTGTTTTGGTTTGGTTTAGTTAAAGACAACAATAAAACCAAATGTGTTTTTCCACCTCTCTTGTAATAATGCTCCGCTTCTTATTAAAATACCCTGTATAAGGTTAGTGGACACTAGACAAATATTGCTATAATTATGAATAATAATTAGCAGAGCATTATCTCTAAACAAAGTGACCCTTGAACCCCCCCCCCATTATGCTTATACCCCAGAAAATTGGGATTTAAGTCACAACTATCTTGATTTTAATGAGGTTTAAATTAAATTGTGTTGAAATTGTTTAATTGCTTACAATGGGATTACTCTTTTCATATTTGAAGGTTTGCATTTAGGAGGTGCTAGGCTTGAAAAATGTGAACAGAATGTTTTCTCCATATGTGATTTCAGTGTGTCAGATACTGACTAAAATTAATGAAATGTGTTTAGCCATAATTTCATTTTTTTGGTAGCTCTAATATATGAATGAAATGCATTTTCTTCTGATGTTCTTGTCTTGCTTATTAATAACCAACTTATATGTGCATATAAACTCAAGTACTATGGTATTCAGATGATGACCTGTGTGTGTGTAAGTTTCATGTGTATGCACACTAATCTGTCAAAGTGGAAGAAGCAAAATAAATACAGGCACATTCTAAATAATGGGTAATCTTCAAAATGCAAAGATGATGAAAAATATGAATAAAGAAGCTACTGATACATGATTTCAGTGTGATGAGGAAGGGAAACAATGTAGATAAATCTAGAAAAAAGATTTGGACAAAGTTTGCACTTATCACGGGATTTGCAAACAGTATGGTTGATTTAATTTGGAGAACAGGCACAAACCATAGGTTGCACTGATTGAGCGAGAGGAATCTGAGTCTGCATTAAAAAGAGGGAGAGGAGGTATTGCTTCGTGCACTGCCATTCCTGTGAATTAATTACTTTGCAAACCTAGCCAAATGGCACAGTAACAAAGAAACTTAATGTAAAACAAGCCAAATCATTAGTCCATCAAGTCTACATATTTATCATGATCATCCTCCCACCCCCGCTCATGTGGTACTTTGCCTTTGTACTCTACTTTGGTAGAGCATTCATGCATTGAAGTGCCACTGAAGGAAGAGTGACCCTAGTATCACATCTTTGGGGTGATCGTGCTTCACTCAGCTGTTGGTAAAGGAAACTTGAACATGAGAACAACTATCTCTTGCACACAGATGTAACTCTTGAGATTTTTGCACTCTATATACATGCTGAAAACAGGGGTGGTCTAAGGGATGGAGTCAAGAGCATAAGACTACAGCTCCTTCCATACAAGAATGCCCTACCCATGACTCAAAGGATGGATTTGCTTCCAGGAAAAAATTCTGATCCAACAAATTTTAACTCCAATGATGTGGAATTAAAAATTTGAGAAGGGAGTGCCAAATCAAGCTCTAGGTGGAAAGAGGTTGCATTTACCTTCTAAATTTTGTGAAGTGGTTAAGAAGTCTGTTCTTTGTACCCAGGATGTGCATTCTATGATATGTGTGGGTTTTCAAGTTTTTTAGAAGCTCAACTCTCCAACATCAGTCTTGGGCTTTTGAAACAGAAGAAAATATTGTACATTCCTGACACATCTTGGGCTGGTTGTGTGATCACTGATATTACCCAGTGACTTGTCCAGTCCTGAAATAGCCAGGGAAGCCTGTATCTTTGAAAGAGGTCCATGCCGCTGCAAAAATGCTTTTATTTTCAGTTAAAAAAAACAAGATACTTCAGTCACATTATAATGTTTCTAAAATAAGTCCACTCCTAGCCACCTCCACCACAGATTCTTTGCAGGAGAGGATGAATATTGACTGAATTTTATTCCAACTAATGTTTGTCCTGTCCTGCTATGAGACCATTGTAACAAAATACCCAAATTTATTCCCAGCAGGATTCATGATGGAATTATTTTTAATCCTTATAATGAGTAGCATGTGAATAGGATTCCTGTTATTCTTATAATAAGAGTAATTAAATAGCAGCCCAAGGATAAATTCTGATCACTATTCATATGCATTATATCTAAAATGTGGATTCTAATTTATATTCATGATTAAATAGTTGCTATTAGGGATAATATGGTCTACATGGCAGCAAGCTTGTGTGTGTAATATGAGTTGCTTTTTCATTTGAAAGCAGAGTTCAAAAAGTATTATCTGTGACTAATGTACATTTAAATACAGAAACACAACAGGAATGCTGTGAAATGAAATTGGTAGTAAAGTACCATGAAGATGAAAAGCTTTAAATAAATGTAATTATAATATATATTACTGTTAGCAGTAAAAGAGACTGGCGCAAACTGCTAAATATAATGGGATGGATCCAGATTTAGGCATGTGCAACTGAGCTGGCTAGAGATTAGCTTGATCCCTTCCCTTAACATTATATTTAGTGTTTCAGAGATTCTACTAAGAATGGGCTATTGTTTTGGAGGAAGCTGGATTCTTCTAAAACAAGTGGAAGCATTTGCTCTGTCCAGAGCTTTGCTAAATGACTAATGCATCCACCTGATTTTTGGGATCTCCCTTTGCTTTTATTCAACAATCTAGCCCAGTTGCAAAGCCCTTTGACTCTTTGGCATAATATTTGGGAAGGTGGAGGCAAGATGAAGCCACCATAAGAAACAGTGGGGCAAGGAAACCTGCTTTAGCCCATTATAACTTATCTACATTGGATCCATTTTAATGGCTGTGAAAGTTTTTGAAAATGGGTTTAAGTGGAGATAACACACACTTAGAGGTAAGTCTATGTTACATATGAAGCTAACTCTTTGACCCTTCTATAAACTTAAAACACAGTAATTAAAGTTTGGTGTGACCAGCACTTAGCCTTAGGGCCACATGTGGCATTTGATCTAATTTCAACCCCCCCCCCCCCAAATTGGTTATTTTCCTGCAGCTTCCTGCTTGGGAGAGAAAGAGGGAAAAGGAGACATGAGGGAACAGGAATCGCCATCCACTTTTGGCTGTGTCTTCTCCCACTGCTTGCTCTATCACCATGCAGCCACCAACAGATTACCTGAGGAAATGCTTCCCCACCCAAAACAATATTGCTCTTCTTTTGGATGAATAAACAGAAGTTCAGTTTCAAGTTCCTTGCATTCTTAAGAAATTCATGTAGAATGTTTTCTCCCTGACTGATGAAATACAGTTTTCTTTTAGGCACTTACATCTAGCAAGAAAAGGACAATAGAACTGAAGATAGATATCAGGAAAAAGTGTAAGTTTTCCACATTTATCTTCTGTTGATCACTTGATGGAAAACTAGTAATATGTAAGTCAGGCAAGATGAATGAAATTTTTAAGTGGATAAGGTAGGATAAGATGTGACAAGTTTTATTCTGAATTCTGAGGTTTTAAATATTTTCTGGGACTAAAATTTCACATATTATATTACAATCTTCCCAGACTTTGTTACCCTCCTTATATCTGGACTGCAATTCCCAGAATTCTCTGCTATGTTCGAGCTGGCTGGGGAATTCTGGGAATTCCACCGATGTGGAGGGCATCTAGCTTGGGAAGCTGCTGTAGCATTGGGAATCATCACTTGGTCCTACTGAACACAGCTACAACAACTTAATTATGACAAAATCCTATCCTATTATTTTCAAAAAGAAGTTCTGTTGACCAGTTATTGCTAATTTGTGTCATGTAGGTTTGATCTATTCTTTTTTTGTATTTCAAGTGCCAACAGTGGATGAAAACTTAAGATCTCAGTAGCAGAAATCATGTAACTGATAAAGATAGTAAATTTCAAATAAAGCAATATATACTGAGTCTTTGCCTACATTCTCTTCTGTCTAGACAAACGTTTATTTCAACTCAGTGTGGAGTGTATCATTATTAGACTTTGAAAATAGATAATGATCCAACTTTACACTCTTTGAATGAATGTTTTAATAAAAACAAAGACCAGGAGATGTCTCCCCATATGACATGATTACTGATTACCATAAAAAGACTTCACAGATATTCTTAGATATATGCTCAACAATTTTATCAGCCTTCTGCATGCTTTAATCTTCTTATCAAACATGGGCAAAGAAAAATTTCCATTAAATTACAAATCTAGAAGCTCTTTGATACTATCTCTGCTTTTAAGATGGATAATCCAAGCCATATGATTGTTTGGAAACCCCTAATAGCTTATTTAATTGATTCCCCCAGCTCCCAGTAATAGCTTCGCTAAGTTCCTTTCAAGTTAAATTACTCTGTGTCAATAAACAGCCAAAGAAAAACAGAAGGAGCCATAATAAAATACACAAAAGTAACCAGTCACTTGATATCTCCTTAGAATTAAGGAACAAGGGCTTTCAAAAGGAAACTGATTAACATTTGGAAGGAACATCTGTCTCTGAATAACTATAAGACCTAAGTATCATAATTCCTATCATATGATATCACAATATCAAAACTGAAGTATCATAATTCCTGCTATCCAGGAATTTCATGAAAGCAGATTGCTCCCAAAAACAATTTTCCATCAAAAAAATAATGGATTATATCTGAGAACATACAATTAAAAATATATGCCTAATTATAGAAAAAAAATACTTCAAATTCCCAGGTATAATAAGAAAATGCACATTTTTGCATTTAAGGGTTAACAATTAAATCAGAACTGTGGGCAAGAGAACAAGGGAAAGTGTAAGTGAAGTATTCTAACCAGAACAGATTAATAAT